CAAGCTGCTGGCATGCAGGTGGCTGCGGGCGAGGATCCACTCGCCACCCTCCGTACCAGACCCCTTGCTCGGTCGGGCTGGGTTGCACATCAGCCGCCATCCCTGGCGCTTGGCCTTGCGGCGCCAAAAGCTGAGCTGCGCCGAGGCCCTGACGTGCGCCTCGACGAAGCTCACGTAATCGTACCCCTGCGTGCTGTCATGCACAAACTGCCACGCCTGGGGCCCCATAGACGTGATACTACCGAAGAAAAAGCGCCGCTCGAACTCGCTGGAGTCCACGGCCTGTCGATCAACGCGAACGCCATCGACACGTAGCCCCCGAGGAGCAGCTGCTGGAGCACATTCAGCTTGCCCGACTGAAGTCAACTCCACTGCTGCCGCCGTCGGCGGGTCCTCCTGTTCTTCAAACTTGGGCGCGTTGGATGCGCCCTGAGCCGCGGCACTGTCGGCCGCGGCGGCCTGGCGTCAGACCACGGAAGCCGCCTTGCCGCCGTGACCCTTGCCACCGCCGGCCTCAACAGCTCGCTCCGCGGCCCTGAACTTGGCCTCGCTGAGCTCGGCGGCTTCTGCTGCAGGGCGCGCCGCCTCCTCACCGCCACCAGTGGCGTCCGAGGCCGCCGCGGCGGTGGCGCTGGCACCGACCCCGACTGGGGCCTCGACGCCGCCGCCTCCTCCCGTTGGGGCTGCCTCGGCCTGGGCCTGTCCAGTGACCGCGGCCCCTTCAGGCCCCTTGCGCTTCTTGGCCAAGCGTTGCTTGCTCTGCTCCGCGAGCGCCTTGGCCTGCGCCAGCTTGGCCTTCACCTCCGTCGAGTGCGACTCCACCTGGGTCTTGGTAGTGCACAACTCACGGCGGAGAGCGTCCATGGCCTGGCGCTCGCCCTCGTCCAGCTCCTCGATGGCCTCGCCCGTGAAGACCGAGTCGCCCCACGCCAGCTGGAACAGCTCGCCCTCGGCATCGGGCGGCGGCGCTGAGCCTGGAGGCTGCCCAGGAGTCGTCGGCACCTGCGGCCGCCGCCTTTTGCTTCGCCGCCTCGGCCTCCGCCAGCTGCATCGCGAGGTCCTTCTCGCGCCCCTCGGCAGCTGTCAGCGCCGCGCGACAGCGCAGGACCTGATCCACGGCCCCCTGATGGCGCCAATTCAGGTATTTGCACTCACCAGCCGCCTTACGGAAGGCGTCTTCGTGCGAGGGCTCCGCAGCCTTGGCGGCGGCGGCCTGGGCGTGCTGCTGCACCACGAGGGCCTGCTTGAGCTCGCTGGGCACCTCGCCGCCCTGCTCCGCAGCAGCCCCAGCGATCGCCTCCGTCGCTGATACCAGCGCCTCGCCTGGCTTCAGCAGCGCCGACTGGCCACCTCCTCCGCCGCCCTGGCAGCTGCCGCGCGGCCGCGAGGGCTGTCGCGCTGCGCGCTGAACGACGGTCGCGCGCTGGCGGCTGTCGCGCTGCGCTGCGGCTGCATTGGATGGCGCCTCGGATTTCAAGCGAAAATAACCCAGCAATGAGATGATCTTGAGGATCTTGAGGAGGAGGAGGAGGAGGAGGAGGAGGAAGAGGAGGAGGAGGAGGAGGAGGAGGAGGAAGTGGAGGGGGAGGAGGAAGAGGAGGAGGAGGAGGAGGAATAGGAGGGAAGGAAGAGGAGGGAGGAGGAGGAGGAGGAGGAGGAGGAGGAGGAGGAGGAGGAGGAGGAGGAGGAGGAGGAGGAGGAGGGTGGTGGGGGCGGGAGAGGAGATCTGGGAATTCCGTTCGCACTGTACACCGTCTGGCCTCGGCCCTTCTGCCCCGCCCTGGGCCGCGCGCTGGCACGTTGGGGGCGGGGGCCAGGGGGGGGGGGGGGGGGGGGGGGGTGGGGGGGGGGGGCCTGATCCAGAACGGGAAGACGAGGAGGAGAGAGGAGGAGGAAGAGGATGAGGAGGAGGAGGAGGAGGAGTCCAGAGGGGGGGGGGGGGCCTGAGCGTCAAAAAATTATTCACTGCGTGGAGCTCCCCATATGTGCATCTACTCGCATGGACCTGTCCGCCGTGAATGTCTAGGCGCAAGAGCTTTCGAATATTAACGGGCTTCAGTTGTGACGGTCTGGACATCAATCTAACTGCGAATGAATTGGAGTGTGAATGAGCCTCAGTAGTACGAGCGCGTCTCTGTGCATGAGCCTGGGGCCTCCTGGGGCCTCCTGAAACCTACTGGGGCTTCCTGGGGTCTCCAGGAGCCTCTTGGGACCTCCTGGGGCCTCCTAGGAAGGTTTCGTGCCCCAGGGGGGGCGCAATCTATAGCAACAGACGTACACAAACCATTGCGGATTAGAGCCACTGTTTTTTTTACACACCAGGCAGCTCGTGCGACACGAGCCGATCCTGCCGCCAAAAGGCGAGAGCCGCAAAATGCGGCCAGGAGGCTCCGCAAACAGCGGCCTCCAGGTTGCAGCGCGCGCGCCACGCTGCGTGGGTGTGCGCCGTCAGGTGAGGCGGCCACGCGAGCCACCATCCACCCCGTGCCGAGCCTGAAAAGGCCCAGACCACCGTAGGCGCTCCCCAACTCACTCACTCAGGCGCTTGCCCGTCTTCGGGTCCAAGCCTGCCCTGATGTTGGCGATCTTCAGGCTGCGCAGGCGCAGCGCGTTGCCTGAGGCCGCGTAAAACACCAAGGACTCGTGCCCCAGGAGAGGCCCAATACATAGGAACATGAGTAAAACATTTAGGATTGTGTACACAGGAGAAGGACCATCTATAGAAACATACGTAGAACATCAAAGAATCGTGCTCCAGGTGAGGCCCAATCGATAGGAGCATACGTAAAACACATGGGATTGGAGCCACTCCTGTTGCCTTCTGAGGCCTCCTGCTCCTGGGGCCTCTCGGGGCCTCCTGTTGCCTTCCGAGGCCTCCTGGCGCTTCCTGTTGCCTCCTGGGGCCTCCTGTGGTTTCCTGAAGCCTTCTGGAGCTTCCTGGGGCCTCCTGGAGCCTCTTGGGACATCCTGTGGCCTCTTGAGTCTTTCTGTGGCCTCCTGATGCCTCCTGGGACCTCATGTGGTCTCCTGGAGCCTCCTGGAGCCTGTTGGAGCCTCCTGTGGCATCCTGAGAAGAATCTGCGCCCACGAGCCTGGCCACCAAAACTAGCAAACCGATCGAGACATCCTCAAAATCTGGCCCACCTGGGGGGTGAAAATGAGCGCCTCGCTCGAGACATCCTCCAAATCTGCTCCGAAAGCGAAGGATGTTGGGCACAGAAACAGGCAAACCGCCTGAGACATCCCCACAAAATGGCCGCGAACGAGCCCGTGCAACCACCCCTGGCGGCTCCCCTTAGGGGTGCTGAAATGAGCGCCTCGCTCGAGACATCCTCCAAATCTGCTCCGAAAGCGAAGGATGTTGGGCACAGAAACAGGCAAACCGCCTGAGACATCCCCACAAAATGGCCGCGAACGAGCCCGTGCAACCACCCCTGGCGGCTCCCCTTAGGGGTGCTGAAATGAGCGCCTCGCTCGAGACATCCTCCAAATCTGCTCCGAAAGCGAAGGATGTTGGGCACAGAAACAGGCAAACCGCCTGAGACATCCCCACAAAATGGCCGCGAACGAGCCCGTGCAACCACCCCTGGCGGCTCCCCTTAGGGGTGCTGAAATGAGCGCCTCGCTCGAGACATCCTCCAAATCTGCTCCGAAAGCGAAGGATGTTGGGCACAGAAACAGGCAAACCGCCTGAGACATCCCCACAAAATGGCCGCGAACGAGCCCGTGCAACCACCCCTGGCGGCTCCCCTTAGGGGTGCTGAGTATGAGTAAGTCTGTGTATGAGTAAGTCTGTGTATGTGTACGTCTGGGTATGACTAATACTGTGTATGAGTAAGTCTGTGTATGAGTAAGTCTGTATATGAGTATGTCTGAGTGTGAGTAAGTCTGAGTATGAGTAGGTCTGAGTATGAGTAAGTCTGAGTATGAGTAAGTCTGTGTATGAGCAAGTCTGAGTATGTCCGACAGGAGGGGAGGAGAAAAGAGGAGGAGGAAGGAGGAGTAGGAGGCGTCCAAGTAATAACAAGAACCCCATCTTAGGATATGGGGAACAAGACGAAACTGATGCGATGATGCCATCGGTTCCAGAGCTGCCCCAGGAGTTCCTGGATCCCTCGCCTCTGGAGCCCGTGCGAGACCATAGGCAGCCGACGTTCTCTTTTTCGGCGCTTCGACAGTTGGCGGAGGAGGAGGAGGAGGAGGAGAACGGGAAGGAGGAGGACGAGGAGGAGAAGGAGGACGGGAAGGAGGAGGAGGAGGAGGAGGTGGAGGAGGGGGTGGAGGAAATCGGAGACATGCAAACATTTCTCTGATTCGGCGTTTCGGCAGTTGGCGGAAGGGGGGGGCGAGGGAGGGTGTGACTCTGGACCTCTGCTCAACGCGACTGTTTGCAACAGTGCGTCCGACTCCAGCACCTGCCTGAAACAGGCGCCCCAAACGGCCACTCCAATGGGGGGGGGAAGGGAGGGGTGCGAGGGCCGGCGCCGATCAACAAAACCATGAGTAAGAAACGGCGACGCTCAAACGATGCGTGGAGCGCGTCACTATCAAGACCCCTCGCTCCCCGGAAGCAGGCGGGCACACGGGGGGGGGCGCTCGGGAAGAGCAAGAGAACGATGTCGTGATGCGATGGCCCGTGCGAGACAAGAGGACGTCGCGGATCTCGGAGACACCGAAAGAGGACCGGAGCGCGCCACCCTTTCTCAGGACTCCGCGCTCCCCGGAAGCAGGAGAGCAGACGGCGGAGGGGAGGGGTCCTCCGGCGGGGGGGGCGGCCCACAGCCTCAGAGGGGCCTCCGATCTCCGACTCCTCCCCGCACGAGGCCTCTCAGGACTCCGCGCTGCCCGGAGGAAGGAGGGCGCAAACGGGTGGGGGGGTCATCCGGCGGGGGGCCCCCAGCATCAGAGAGGCTTCCGCATATCCGACCCTCCCCCCGCCCCCCCGGCCCTCCCGGGCCCTCTCCCGGGGCCCTCCCGCCCCCGCTGAACCCCGGCCCCTCCCGAGGAGAGCCGCAGCTGTATGGCGGTCGACGGCTTCGACCTGCAGGGGCGCCGCGCGGCGGGTCCGAGGGCCGAGCGCGGGCGCACGGGCCCTGCGATGACCATGACGATGACGATGACGTCATCGTCATCGTCATCGTCGTCGTCATCATCGTCATCATCGTCATCATCATCGTCATCATCGTCATCATCGTCATCATCGTCATCATCGTCATCATCGCCATCGTCATCACCATCGCCATCATCGTCATCGTCGTCGTCATCGCCCGAGGCCCGCCTGTCCTTCTTGTGGCAGCTCACGGGGCCCTATCATGCCACCCCTGCTGGCTCTGGCGAATCCTCGCTGACGCAGGCGAATCGACGCTGATCGATGCCGAATCGACGCTACGCCGACGCCTCTTGACGCTGGATCGGCTCATCCACGTCGCCTGCCAGACGCCAGCGTACGCCAGCGCACGCCGAAGACGCACTTGCGAGCACACGCAAGGCCCCAATGATCTTCTCCCCTACGTTTTACTGCCGAGGGAGGGGGCGCGACGGGCGGTGATCCCAAGCTCTCGTCCTGTCCAGAAGAGAAGGCAGCGGAGAGGCGGCATCTCCTGGCGGTCCCGAATGCCGCAGACGCGCACGTGTCGGAAGCGTGCTATCGGGAATCGATGGGCGCATGGCTCGGTCGAAGGGAAAGAGGTCGCAGGATGCCTCTGAGACTTCAAAAGGGCGCCTGGAGACCTCGAGAAACAAGACATGCCAGTGTGGCACCTGCTTGCAAACCAACTTCATATTCGGGGTGCCTACTGTAAGCGAGAATACGCGCGACTCGGAACGGGTTTGCGCGGCCGCAGCCCTCACTCCGACTACTCCGAAAGACTGGAGTTGGCATGGTTCCTTGCTAGCTCCGTTGCGCACTTGCAATATCCGCCACCGTTCCTCGAGGTACGAAGTGGAGTGTCCTCAAGTCTCTTCGAGTTCTCCGTGCTGAGCGCTGCACTTAGACACTAGTTGAAGGTCGAGGGCCCACAGACGGGCCAAGAGGGTCACAATATGCCCCCACGATACTCCACGAGGGCTCCGAGTCGCCCAAATATCGTTCCAAGATGCACAAGATGGCCTCCAGATGGCCCAAGAGGCACCCAACACACCTCAAGAGGGCTCCAAGACGGCCACCAAGAGGGCTCCGATGTTCCTGTTCGCGCCATTTCGAGTTTCTGACGCTCCACGGTGGCCCAGGAGGCCCCCAATATTGCAGCCCACACGGCCCAGGATGACCTCAAGACGGCCCAAGAGGCCCTCACGAGAGGACCAAGTGCGGCCCCAGAGGGGGATCACGAACGGACATTCCGACCCATCAGCCCCAAGATGACCCCCAAGACCGCCAACAGGCCTCCAAGAGGCCCCCGAGAAGCTCCAGGAGGCCTGCAAGAGCCCCAAGACGCCCCCAAGAAGCCCCCGAGAGGCCCCCAAAACCGCCTCCAACAGGCGTCCGATAAGGGCCTCCCAAGAGATCCCCACAGGCATCCAAGAGGCCTCTGACCTACAGCCCACGCGCGGTGGCGGGATGGGCCGAAGGCCACTAGACAATTCCAGAAGATGCTGGCTTCGACCCAACAAGAGCACCCCGTGAACTCGGCAACACGTGCCCTGCTCTGGACACCGCCCTGGCGATCCGAACAGCACTAGCGGCGCGAGAAGTGACGACTGCGCCTCGCGAGGCGCGCCACGTCAACCGCGATCGCGAGAGAGCCCCCCGTCCGCAGCTGGTCGCCCATCACATGCCTCCATCGGCTACACGCAAGAGTGATCCTGGCAAGAATGACCTTTGGTGCGTGGGGGTGTCAGACCCAAGGGCCTCTGCCGCTGCTGCCGCATCGCACCCAACGATCGGGAGACCTCCACGGGCTCACACCAAAAGCCAATCCTGCGAAGGGCCACTTTTCCGTATGGCCAACCTCCCCCCAAAGCCCCCCCCCAATTAGAAGAAGAGAAACTGCCAGAAACATAAACTGTCGGCACTCCGCACGGATTCCTTGGATCTGCGCTGGACCCCCCTCCCTCGCGCGCGGAGCGCGCCAGGGGCGGCGCCGGAGGCGCTGCTGGGGGGGGGGGGGGCCCAGCGCAGATCCAAGAACTCTGCGCGGAGCGCCAACAGTTTGTGTTCACGGCGTTCTCGTTTCTCCTTCGATGGACGGATGGCGACGGACACGCCGAGCTCGAACGCCGATGCCAACAAACGACCGCGCGCCGGGCGATCGACAGGTCGACACCAGGGGCGACGCAGACTGGGAGCGAGCGGCTGGGCAACCGCTGGACCACGAGCTGCACAACATGCGCAGTCCAGACGCCGAAAGCCCCGCTAGGGTCACCTCTACCGATGTCAATTGGAATGTCCATGCGTGTGCAGTCTTTGCGGATAGCGTTAGTTCGGGCCTGTCCCCCTGCAGGGAGATTTTGGGCGACATTTAAAACATATACATACACATACTTATATATATATATATATATATATATATACATCTCCCAAAAATGCTAAAAAATGGTCAAACAGTAGTCCCCAGACTGTTTCTTTGTTTTCTGCCTATTTTTGAATATTCCCCCTGTGGAGGGACAGGCCCGACTTAAGGATAGCGACGTCCAGCACATCTGAGACTGCAGTGCTTGGCGTACTCTCGCAGAGATGAACCAATCAGACAACGACACGAGGCAAAAGAGGGGTACTCGTCTGCGCACGGTGCCGGGCCAGCGTCGATCTCCCATTCCCACCGCTTCAATGTATGATGTAAGGGCAAAAGCCACTTCACTCGGATGTACGCCGGTCCGTGCGATATCAAACACAATGACAATGTGGCGCTCTGGATCACCTCTGCTCGCACCTCTCCCCATGCGTCAATGCAATTGCGACCCGCGCCTGGTCGCTGACCACTAGCACGACGGTCACACACGTCATCTTTCCACACGTTCGATTATATCGCCTACTCTGCTGTTCCTGCAGCAGTGCTGCTGCAGCATCACCGCCTCCAACGTCGACCCCAAACATAACAATCGACAAGTCCGAACTCGTGCGAAACGAGAGCGTGGGCGGGTGGAGGTGGTCAAGAGGGGTGTGGAATGCATGCCACAGGGCTCCTTACCTCCCATGCTGCCCTGCTCCCGAACAGGCACTTGAGTGAAGAAGACACAGCGGTTCCGCACGACGCTGAGGCTGAGTGACAGACCCCTCGGGGATATACTGACATGGGTCAATGCGAACCCTTAGTCAGTCAGGCGTTGCAGGATCCTGCAGGATCTTGCAGGAACCTTTCTCGCAAGCCCAGGTCAGTGCACAACCCCAGCCCTGCAGAATCCTGAAAGACCCGGTGGCCTGGATGACCCCCGTTTGCATTGACCCCTCCCGTCTCACCCCGCGTCTCAAGGCTCCCGAGTCCCGACGAACCTGACAACGCCGGCAGTGAACTCTCCTTTGAGGTCCACTGTCGACTCCGCCAATCTGCGCCGAGCTCCCGCCAGCCTCAACCAGCGAAATAGCCCCTTTCAGCCGTTACCAGTGCACCAGCTGCAAACTCGCCCCTGGCTGGCGACTCCGAGTGGTCTGTGAGGGCAGGGTGTGGCTTGCAACTCGTGCCCGCGGGGGCGGGTGGTGACCTCGATAGCCTTCCACCGCGTAGCGAGAAGGCCCGACGAGGGTAACGTGGTGCTCCCCCAAGCCCCAGCGACGCAGATCGCAAGCCAAACCCGGGCGTAACCACGCCCTTTGTAGTCGCCGACCTGGGTATGGGAGGAGGAGGAGGAGGAGGAGGAGGAGGAGGAGGAGGAGGAGGAGGAGGAGGAGGAGGAGGAGGAGGAGGAGGAGGAGGAGGGGAGGAGGAGGAGGAGGAGGAGGAGGAGGAGGAGGAGGAGGAGGAGGGGAGGAGGAGGGAGGAGGAGGAGGAGGAGAGAGGAGGAGGGGGAGGAGGGGCACCCGGCCCCCCTGGCCAGCTGCAGAAGGGCTGGGTCCGCTCCGGGGCCGCCGCTGGCGCTGGCGCCGCCTCCCCTCGGCCGGGTGGGCTGGGGGGCCTCACCTCCTGGCCTCCTCCTCCCTCTCCTCCCCACCTCCTCCCTCCTCCCCCCCCCTCCTCCTCCTCATCCTCCCCTCCTCCTCCTGCGTCTCCTCCTCCTCCTCCTCCTCCTCCTCCTCCTCCTCCATCTCTTCCTCTTCCCCCTCCTGCTGGCCCCTCTGACGGTCGCAAGCATCTGCCGCTTCCTCGCCCCACCGCTGCAGCAGCGTTCGTTCGGTAGTCCGCCTGCCTTCTGATTGGCGGTCCATCGCTTCGCGGCAGAGCAGCTGGCAGTGGGCCGCCGACTGTCGTGTCGCCGCTCTGCCGATGCACCTCTGACGCGCGTGGCGCCAATTTCTCGCCCTTGCTGCTGGAGGACAGCGTTCCCGCACGTTTCTTCGCCGACCGCCTTCTGGCAGGGGGAGGCAAGTCACGCAGCGGTCCTGGCGGGTCGCCGTCGTGCTGCCGCTGCGCTGCTGCAGTGCCGACGTGTAGCACCGATCGCGGCGACCTGGCTGCAGCGCTGGCCGCACTCGAGGCTCAACAGAGGCGTCCTCGCCTCCATGCTTGCGGCACTCACAGCTCGAAGCTGGGCATCCGCTTCGCACTCGAAACTTTCCCACATTAACTTTTGCGTCGCAGCGCGGCAGAGGCAGTCCGCACGCGCGTCCAAGCAACCCCGGGCTACAATATTGCGGAGTGCCCCGCGTGCAAGAGGAGGGGAGAAGACGAGAGGCGGCCGCGGAGACAGGAGGGGAGGAAAGAGAGCGCTCGCAACTTTCCCACGAGACGCTTCCTTTTGATATTCACAGCCTGCGCTCAAGACATCATCTGCAGACGGTCTCGGTGTCGTGCCCAACGTGCACGGGCAGCGTGCTCGCGCTGCTGCGCCACACGGGTCCGAAATTCAAACGCCTGGACGCGCTTGAGCTATCATACCACGGTCGACTACACACTACAGCCGAAAATCTGAGGAAGAAATTCAGCATTTCAGAAATGTGGGCCAGCCTCCCGGAAGTCCCACCAGCCCTCTGGGCGTAGGTGGTCTAGGGAGCTTCCTCTTCCACCCCCCGCCTTCTCCTTCGGGGAGCGGCCAACCCGGAACCGTGCAAACCCCATGAGGGCCCCCCCCCCACTATCCCTGTCAAAAAATAATATAAAACGCACTTTGCCTCCACATTTGGAGCATGCGCGGCAAACCCGATGCGGCCCCCCCTCACCATCCCTGTCAAACAACGATACAAAGGACTCTTCGGGGCAAAGTCTTGAGTCATGTTCGTGAGGCCCGCGAGCACGTTGCAGTGTTTTTGACAAGGACGGCGGGGGTGTCAGGACTACCATCCCTAACAAGAAACAAACCAACATGCACCTCGCGGCTAAATCTGGATCATGCGCGGCCACCTCGCGATCACTGTCAAGTGGTTTTTGACAGGCACTGCGGGGGTGGTGGCGCGTGGCTTGCTGTGCGCAGGCCCACCAGACACAATGATGGGCATTTGTGTTCGACCAGGATGGTGGGGGCCGACATGTTTCCCGATGTGTGCTGTCACGTGCGCAGGCGCGCCTGACGCACTATGCACGTGCCCCGAACGTGGCGCGGCTGGAGTGTGCGGCACACATGGCGCACTCGGAGCACGTGGCGCATCTGGCGCACCAGCCGTGCCCGGCACCCTCGGGCCCCAGGGGTGCCTGGCGCGCGTGGATCCCCTGGCACGCGTAGCGCACCTCGCCCGAGCGTCGCGCACCTGGGATGGCGTTGGTTCCCTGTATTTGCCCATCCAAAGACGACCGCTGAACATCTTCAGGCTCGGGAGTTACTTGTGTGTTCGGAGCTTTGTGGGCCCCGGAAACGGCAGGGCCGTTTTTTCACCGTTTCCCAAAAGATGTCCCTTGAAAATAGAAACGGCACAAAAACGGCGACCGGAAACGGCAAAAAAACAGCTCCAGGACTGGAACCGCAGCCGGAACCGGTCAAAGAACGGCGACGGAACCGGTAAAAAACGGCGTTGGAACCGGCAACAAAAACGGCAAAACGGAACCGGTAAAAAAACGGCCCTGTCGTTTCCAGGGCCCACGAAGGTTCGGAGGGCGGGTGGGACTGAGCCAGACGGCTTGCGGGCGGGTGGGCAGCTCGAGCCCTCCCCCATACCCCCCTTCCCCGGGACCTGGACAGGGCGGGCCGCGAAGTGTCAGAGAGCATTGTTTGACGCCCAAGGTGGCTCCAAGAGCGCCTCGGAGAGCCCAAGATAATCTCCAAGATGGCTCAAGATAGCCCAAGATGTCTCACGAAGGCTCCCAAGATGCTCCAAGAGGCCCCAAGACCGCCTCAAGACGGTTCCAAGAGGCCTGCGAGACCCCCAAGGAGGCAACCAAGAAGCTAAAATCCTTCAAACACTTATGGAACATCAATGGTGTGTGTATCGTCGCCCGTTCGCGTTCGATAGCCTTCCAAGGCCTCAAGATGGCTCCAAGATGTCCCAACAGGGCCCCAAGAGAGGCCCCAGAGAGCCCCAAGACGGCCCCTAAAGCGCCCAAGAGCGCCCCGAGAGCGGCCCAAGGGGACCATTCCTTTGTGCGCTACCCACTTCTCTCATCGAGGCAACTCCTCTGGGCATCGTTTCTGGATGGGCCGGTGGGGTTACGCGAAGCGCCTAGGCATTATTTAAGTCAACCTGGGCAAAGTTCTTTTGTTAATGCTGGAAGGGTGAACGTGGTCAAGACACTGGGCCAGCTGTCCGGCAAGTTGGTTGAGAAACGCTGGCCCAGTTGTTCTGGAGGAGGTTTCTGAATCAGATGTTCGACTGTAGTGCCGTGTGACGCGTCGCATAGGACGTGAACCAATCAGTTACAAGTCACCCTACCCTCGCACATGCTTCCACACCGCCCCCCAATGTGATCAAATACACTCCCAAATCCGCTCGGGTGGAACGCGAGACGTGCAAGCTGAACGGTCGCCGTGCGACCATCCGGCTAGGGTGCCAAGGAGAATCATGAAAACTCATGCTGTCTTGGGCCCTACATGGAAGCCGCCTAGAGTGCACTCGGAATCATACTCCGAATAAGATGGCGCAAGGTCTGCAACTTCGAGTCCACACACTCTGCGTTCGCGCAATGTGCACGTTGCAGTCAAAGGATTGGTCGAGAGACCTTACCTATCGCACCATTCACCGCTCCCCCCCCCCAGTTCGGACCCCCCTGGCTCAAGTTGCGGAGGGGGGGGCACCAAGCAGCGAAGACTAGGCCTCAAAAACCAAGCTGACGAGCCTTCTCAGCGTAAAATACGTCAGAAAGCAATATCGCATGTTCAACCAGCTAGTCACTCGACCAGTCAACCGACGAACCAGTTAGTCACTCAACCAGGCACCTGGCCAATCCATGAAGTGGGCGGGGCCCTTCAAATATCAGCCGCTTCAAATGGCCACGGCCTGCACGCCCTGGTCGCCTGTGCACTAAAAGTTTCCACGTGTCCACTAAAAGTTTACCGATCCGCGTGGGCCCCAGATTGCATGCTCTGGATGCCTAGTGGGACGAACCCCCATCAGAACTGGGGATCCGTCCCCCTCATGAGAGACCTTCAGAACTGGGGATGCGTCCCCCGACAAGAGCGGCGGCGATTCGATCCCAGCACGCTAAAAAGCATGCAGCGCGGCTGCGCCTCGCGGCGCGCCAGGAACGGGATGCCCCCTGAGCCGCCGCGTCAAAACTGTATCGTCCCCGCAAGCGTCAACAACGACCCTTTCTGCCGCACCTCCGACGCATGGGGCGGTCGGAGGGTGGTTACCGCATCGAGCGGCAAGCCAGACCACGACCACACAAAAAAAGTAGGACTTGACAGCGCAGTCACATCTGCAGCGGCAATGGCGAGGACAAATACGCTCTTGGCAAGACACAGTTTGGCAAAGCCTCTGCGCACTGGTGGCGCCAGCCGTGGCGCGACCCGTGACGCTCCTTGAAGGGCAGGCGTGGTAGGGAGAGGCAGGGAGGAAGAAATTTGGAAGGATAAAGCTCGGGGAGATGGGAGTAAAGCAGGTGGCCATATTACCAATAATAACAAATAGCTGCGCCTGCCAAGCACGCACGCTGCGCCGAGAGAGCCCGCACATCCAACCCGCGCGGCAAACCCGCGTGAGATCAACAAATACGCTGGCCGTTCCAGTAGATGCGCAAGGCCTGCGAGCCCTTAGACAACTTGAGCGGTGGCCAAGCTTTTGCCGAGCCTTCACAAGTGCTCGAGCTGGTCGACACCTGCCCTGAACAACTTGTCGAAACGCCATCATCGAGTTCGTCCTGGATCGTGCATGCGGGACTGACGGAGGATGATTTGCTGGCGGTGCAACTGGCATCTCCAGCGCAGCTGAAGCATATCCTGCTGCTGGCGCTGCCAGCGTCGCTGCCGGTGAAGCGTCTGCTGGCCGCAGATTGCCTCAGCCGTGCGGTGCCATCTTTCGACACCCCCCATCGGGTGTCCACAGAGATCACCAAGCCTCGGCGATTCGCGAGGCTGGGATTCGCACCGCACCCGCACAACTCACAGGACAGGCTGCGCGGCATCCTGCGGTTCGATCCGCCTGGTTCCTGATGGGCCGACCTGCTGGCGCTGTAGCCGCTGGCGGGCGGGCTCGGGTTGGGCGAGCCGGACATCGCTTCTCTCTCAGAGCGCTGGCCAAGGATCCAGATCTCGGCTGTAGACTTGAGGTTGAACCACCGCCATGGCTGGGGCGCATGCATGTCGGAGACTGAGTTTCCCCAGACTGCGGCGTTGTGGTGCGAAGAATGTGCCCCGTCTAGCCCTGAGCCAAACTGACTACGGCTACGATTCGAGATGCAGGACAGCGCGGTGCTGTCTGGCCCCAGGGAGGTACTTGCGCAGGGACGCACGACAGCGGAGGGGAGAGGGGGGGGAAGATAATGCGGAAACGGGCGCCCCTTGGCACCCCAATTTAACGCAGCACCCTTCATAGACTGGGAATCTGCTAGTGAGGAGCCGACAGGACTACTTAGTGGACGTGGGGGGGGGAAGATTAAGGAGCCCGGCGAGCCGGGACAACAAGGTTCGCCTTGCATTGTTCATATTAGTCTTGGGGCGGCCCTGAGGCTTCACAGTCGTGGGGCGGCCCTGGGGCCTGGGCTGGCGCTGTAGGGGGCTTCACAAACGTGGGGCAGGCCATCGCCCACCAGAGAGGCGGCCACGGCGCAGTCCGGGTTAGTGGTGCCCCACAGTCGTGGGGCCCTTCTTGTAGCAGTAGGTGTCGAATTTTAGTATTGGAAGGTTCGCCCCCGCGGCCGCTCCCATAATAGGTGGGTAGCTTTCAAGGGGATAGCCGTGCTTCCCAGTCATGGGGCAGCCTGTCAAATGGTAGTAGGGGAGGGGTTTGCCGAGTAGGTATTGCTATCTAGTCGCGGGGTTACACGTGACCGTAAAGGTAAAGAGATAAGCGAGGGGCAATGTTAGGGCTTCACAGTCGTGGGGCGGCCCTCCTGTTGAGGGAGGATGAGAGTGGGGTTGTTAAAAGGGCACAGTCGTGGGGCGTTGCTCGCCTGCCTCTCATTGTGAGAGGGGGGTGGGCAAGCTTCAAAGTCTGGGGGGAAGGGATGAATTGCCACTTAGTGGTGGGGGGACAAATGACAGCGAAGGGCAAAGGTAAGAGTTTGGCGATAATAAGGCTTCACAGTCGTGGGGCGGCCCTCCTGTTGAGGGAGGATGAGAGTAGGATAGTTAAGCGGGCTTCACAGTCGTGGAGCGGCCCCCCTCCAGAAGGAGGACGGTGGCGCATTCCATATAACGGGCTTCACAGTCGTGGGCCGTGTCTCGCCTGGTAGGCATCCGTAGGTAGATTACATAGTATCCGAGTAATAGCGGCCGGGGTACGGCATAGTAGTAGTTCCCATTTGACACAGAGGGGAGTAGTAAGGTAGGCGCAGTAGTTGCCATGTCGTTCGTGCGCAAGCCATACTTGATACCAAAGCACAATGCGATGCGGTTGCGATGTGATGCTATGCGACCCGCATTCCAGCCTTCCAGCCCTTATGCCCGATGGCCTATGGCCGACGGGGCGGTCCTCCCAGACGGCAGGCGCATGGCACACGCAGTCCCAGCTATGGGCTATGGGACACGCAGCCCTGATTAATTAAATGGGACGCGCAGTCTCGATTATGGGACACACAGTCCTGGCAAATGGGACGCACAGTCCCTGTCATGGGACACGCAGTCCTGGCAAATGGGACGCGCAGTCCCTGCTATGGGGCACACATTCTTGGCAATTGGGACGCGCAGTCTCGATTATGGGACACACCGTCCTGGCAAATGGGACGCACAGCCCCTGTTATGGGACACGCAGTCCTGGCAAATGGAACGCGCAGTCCCCGCTATGGGACAAACATTCCTGGCGAATGGGACGCGCAGTCTCGATTATGGGACACACACCCCTGGCAAATGGGACGCACAGTCCCTGTTATGGGACACGCGGTCCTGGCAAATGGGACGCGCAGTCCCTGCTATGGGACACACATTCCTGGCAAATGGGACGCGCAGTCTCGATTATGGGGCACACAGTTCTGGCACATGGGACGCACAGTCTCTGTTATGGGACACGCAGTCCTGGCAAATGGGACGCGCAGCCCCTGCTATGGGACACACATTCCTGGCAAATGGGGCGCGCAGTCTCGATTATGGCACACACAGTCCTGGCAAATGGGACGCACAGTCCCTGTTATGGGACACGCAGTCCTGGCAAATGGGACGCGCAGTCCCTGCTATGGGACACACATTCCTGGCAAATGGGGCGCGCAGTCTCGATTATGGCACACACAGTCCTGGCAAATGGGACGCGCAGTCCCTGCTATGGGACACACATTCCTGGCAAATGGGACGCGCAGTCCCTGCTATGGGACACACATTCCTGGCGAATGGGACGCGCAGTCTCGATTATGGGACACACAGCCCTGGCAAATGGGACGCGCAGTCCCTGTTATGGGACACGCAGTCCTGGCAAATGGGACGCGCAGTCCCTGCTATGGGACACACATCCCTGGCAAATGGGACGCGCAGTCTCGATTATGGGACACACAGTCCTGGCAAATGGGACGCACAGTCCCTGTTATGGGACACGCAGTCCTGGCAAATGGACGCGCAGTCCCTGCTATGGGACACACATCCCTGGCGAATGGGACGCGCAGTCTCGATTATGGCACACACAGTCCTGGCAAATGGGACGCGCAGTCCCTGTTATGGGACACGCAGTCCTGGCAAATGGGACGCGCAGTCCGTGCTATGGGGCACACATTCCTGGCAATTGGGGCGCGCAGTCTCGATTATGGGACACACAGTCCTGGCAACTGGGACGCACAGTCTCTGTTATGGGACACGCAGTCCTGGCAAATGGGACGCACAGTCCCTGTTATGGGACACGCAGTCCTGGCAAATGGGACGCGCAGTCTCGATTATGGGACACACAGTCCTGGCAAATGGGACGCACAGCCCCTGTTATGGGACACGCAGTCCCCGCGCATTGGAGGATGCCCCATGTAAATCGGAGGTGAGGGGGAGAGATCGAAGTGGAACGGATAGGTGGCAGTGTCAGGCATGGGGGTGGGGGGCTTACCAGCCACCGTGCAAAGGGCCCGCGTGTAGGCCATGGGCGGTCATAGGCCGCGCAGTGGAGGGCATTGGCGCGAGTGTTGCACAGCATAGGCGTGGTAGTAGCCGCATCTTCACAAGTGTTGCATCCAGACATGGCGTGCCACCATTGTTAGGGCACGAAGCGGTAAAACATTACCCGTGCCTTAAACGACAGCCGTGACAATCCTCCTCGACTCCTCCTCCTCCTCCTCCTCCTCCTGCTCCTCCTCCTCCTCCTCCTCCTCCTCCCTCCTCCTCCTCCATCCTCCTCTCTCCTCCTCCTCCTCCTCCTCCTCTCCTCCTCCCCTCCTCCTCCTCTCTCCTCGACTCCTCCTCCTCCTCCTCTCCCTCCTCTCCTCCCTCTCTCCTCCTCCCTCCTCCTCCTCCTCCCTCCTCCTCCTCCTCCTCCTCCTCCTCAGCGCCACCTCCTCACGCAAACGGTCGGACGCCACCCGTCGACCCCCCCCCCCCACCGGGGCAAACTGCAACAGCGGTGACAGCGCAGTCGCACGTGAGATTGACACAAAGGGGAACCACACACGAATCGCGATGAGGTCGGCAACCTAAGAAACACATTGACTAATACAGCGACCACCCCAGAAAAAAAAGCTTAACGCAAGCGCCTGCGAACGGCATGCGGGCGGTCATCTGCGGGGAAGAAGATCGGAAAAGTGATCCCGAAGGCGTCGGCACACAATAGCTGGTAGCTTCTCGGTGGCATGGCAAGCCTCATGGGTTGCTTGCGCTTGTGAACATCGTGCTGACTTGCATTTCCACCCAAAACGACAGATCAGTGAACTGTAGATAACGCGAGCAATCGAGCATAGTAATTACGAAAGCAAGATCGCGAGGCCCCACCCCGGCCCACAACTGCCAAGCCAAGCGCCCCAGCACCAGAGCGGCGCAGGCCACAATGCCAATACGCTCCGCTTGGTGGGCAATACCGGAAAAGTCTGAGACGATCATTCGACAGGTAGGCTTGGCACCTAGCTCGTGCGGGAAGTCAGCCTGACTAACACTCCAAGTCAAAGAGCACTGACCCCGTGCCTTTACGGACGGTGGCACTGCGAATGATGCCAAGGAGGACGGATGAAAGCGACGCTGGCAAAGGGAATGGCGATGAGAAAGATGCGGTTGAGAGCGACAAGATAATCCAGATCACGCGCAACATCACCCGACTTTGTTTGAGTTGACCGTCCGACTTCACTTCGGTGAGTTGACCACCCGCCTTCACCGCGGGAGTATACAACCCGAGGGAATCATCTGAATGTGCCGCAAGAGTGTACCACTCGACTGCGCCGCCCGAGTGTACCGACAGACCGACCGAACCGCCCGAGTGCACCGCGCGAGTGTGCCGCCGAGTGTACTTCGCGGTTCATGCCAACAAACGTAACTGATATGTCCGCAAGACTGCCCGCCATCTTGCCCCGAGGCACGGGTTGGAGTATCCTCAAGTCCTTGGCATTCCGAGAGGGCCAGGCAGTCCAAGAGGGCCCCGATTCGCCGCACGATCGGTCCAAGACGCCCCAGATAGCCCCAAGACGGTCTAAAGCCTTCGAGGCGCCTAAATATTGCCCCAAGACAGCCCGCCCAAGAGTCCCACCCCACGAGGGCCCCCAGACGGCCCAAGAGTGGTCCAAGACGGCCTTAGAGGTGCCCGAGCTGGCCTAAACGAGACCAAAGGCAGCCCCAGGAAGGGCCCAGGAAAGGACATATGAACTGAAAACCCTAGCATTCCGCCCGCCCAGGAGGCCCCCAGGAGGCCCCCAGAAGGCCCCAAGAGGCCCCAAAGAGGCCCAAGAGAGCCCCAAAAAGCCCCAAAGCCGCAGCAAAAGGCTCCAAAACAGCCCCCAAGAGGGCCGAAGAGGCCCCCTAAGGGGCACACGCGACATCCCGACGAACATGCCAGAGACCTATGACCCACAACCCAGGCACTGTGGCGGGATGAGCCGAAGGCCTTTAAATACGGAACGGAAGATTTTGCTGGCCACTGCGAGACTTGGCCACGGAAAGCTCAACCGACCTCGGAAAGGTTTTCTCCTAACGCCACCACACCCGCCCATGCCGACCCACAGCGTGCTGGGAATGTCCATGCCCATGCCGCCCGCCATGCTACAGCGCAGTCGTATCACCTGTGGACCAAAATTGGCATTCATGTCCCCATGCCATCACTGCGGTTTGCGCACGCCCGCCCACCACGACGTGTGTTAATCAGCCGTTCAGCAGGCGAGACCGGGCCCAAACCAGTGGCCCAACCAGGCCAATTCTGGGGACGTCTCAGGCGGGGCGCGAGGCCAAGCCAGGCAGATGTTGAGAACGTCCCAGGCAAAATCGCTCAAACCAGGCTCCTTCCACTCTCAGCAATCACATCCGGATTAAGGGAACGGATCGCCCGTTTAGAACTTTAGGGGGGGCGTTTGGACCGCGCGACCGCTGATGCGGACGGGGCTGGGCGCAGAAGCCTTGATTTGTCTCTCGGGTGTTGCTGGGGCCTTGGTGTGGCGTTAGGAATAATACTTGCGAGCCTGCAGATGTGATGACCAGCCGGACACCCGAGCCCCTTCGGAACCCCAAGTCGCCCTGATTTTAAAAGTCTTGCTTGTAAATACAACGATGTCCACACTTGCGCGTCCCCGCGCACATGTCAAAATCGTTACAGAGCCAAGTGCTCCAAAGATGTCGACATCGGCGTGCTCAACGTTACTGAAACGCAGTGTGTGGTGTTCAAGTGTTCTGCGCGCACACTTCCGAATCATCACCATCACCACCGCCGTCATCACCATCGCATCGCCATCATCATCAGCAGCATCACCAGCATTACCAGCATCATCAGCATCATCCTCACAAGCATACTCATCATCATCACCAGCATCAGCAGCATCAACACCATCATCATCATCATCATCATCATCATCATCATCATCGTCATCATCATCATCATCATCATCATCATCATCGTCATTGTCATCCCCATCATCTTCATCAAGGTCTCTGTCGTCGTCACCATCACCAGCGACACCATCATCATCATCATCATCATCATCATCACCATCATCATCGTAGACGTCGTCGTGTGGAATTTTCCTCGTCACTGTCGCCATCACCATCATCATCATCATCATCAGCAGCAGCAGCAGCATCACCACCATCATCATCATCATCATCATCATCATCATCAGCATCAGCATCAGCATCATCATCACCATTGGTGTCACCAAAGATGTCGTAATCATCATCGTAACGTGCCTTCCCATTTGCAGTGCAACGTGTAGCTTGCTCCACACATAGATTGTATCACACATAGTGCACATTGAAGGTGCACCGGCTCTTTACAGTTCTCTGGGACGCAGTGCTGACAGCCTGGGCACACCTGGTTCGGCCATACGGAACGACGCGGCGACACCTGAGCACCTGTGCCCTTCTGGACATGGAGCACTGCCCGAACACAGCGAGGCAATCTCCTGACAGCCACAGCAGGACGGAGTGGGGAGGAGCGGGCGAAGGAGGATGACAAGGACCCAGTTCCACGAGGAGGAGGCGGCATGAGGAGCAAGAGTAGCAGTACTCGTCCCCAAATGACACTGCTCACCCTCCCCCCCAAAACCACTGAGCTGGGAGAGCTGGAAACAACTCAAATATACAAACCATGAGCGTTGTGAAGCACATGCTTTTCCAGCATTCAGGGCTTGAGGCTGTGTGCAGCACAATGTGTTTGAGGCGGGTCCTGCATACCACATGGTGGCCCAAGAGGGCCCCAAAAGGGCTTCAAGAGGCCCCCAAAGAGGGCCCGAGAGGCCAAACTCATTGATGTCGCCTTGGATTGTGAACGATTCTAGCGATCTCGCCTCCTTGGGCATTTCACGCTTCGAGACGGCCCGATGGGGTTCCAAAGTTCGCCCCAAGACGGCCCACGAGGCCCCCAAGAGGGCTCCCAGACAGCCCAAAAGAGCCCCAAGACAGCCCAAGAGCCCCCAAGACGGCTCAAAGGGGCAACACGAACCGACATTCCGAGCCCTCTGTCCCAAGCTGACCTCCGAGACCTCCAGAGGACCCCCAGGTGACAAGCTCCAGGAGGCCCCCAAGAGGCCCAACTCATACCCAATAAGCTCCCGAAGAGGCCCCCGAGAGGCCCCCGAGACACCCCAAGACCGCCCCGAAGAAGGCTCCCGAGAGGCCTCCCGAGAGATCCCCACGGGCATCCAACGGGCCCCTGACCGACGCCCAGGCACGGTGGCGGACTGGCCCGATGTCGAGCACGGTGGCGGAAGGGGCCGACGTCTGGCTTCCGCCAGCGAGGAGGAACACGAAGGGGGGGACCGGCCGACCCAGATGAAGGGGTCGGTCCCAGGACACACAAATAAATACACACAAAGAAAAGGACTCCCCACATTTCCCATATTTTCGAGGTTTCTGTCTCCCCCCCCACACTTCCCCTATTTTCCCATATTTCCTCGGGAATCGACGAATAAAATTGTGTCTGTGTTTTTTCCCCTCCTGACCAGAGTCGGCGATAGATCGCCGGTGGATCCGCGACAGGCCCCCGCTAACGAACACGCTCGCTCCTGGGCGGGGTGGGCTGTCGGGGCCCCATGGGCGATCGGTGGGCGATTGGCGGTCGATGCCCATCCCCGTGCGACGTTGTCCCGGCAATCTGTAATATCACACGGAAATACTATGCATATGTAGATGAACGTACATACACACATACATAGGTACATACATACATACATAATTACCTATCTATCGACCTACCTACAACTCTACCTGTCTCCCTACATATAGCATGCATGCACACCTAGAAGACAGACAGACATACATACAGGCACATAGGCTCATATCTGTGTATATATACATACATGTATGTACCGCATCATCCTAAAGTTATACACAAGCACATGCAATACATAGAACAAAGATAGTTGTGCATGTGTGTATCTAATACCTTTACACAACTACTTCGTGGAGAAATAATGACAGCCTGGATTCCGCGAGGGCCCGTGCCCCGCTGCCGCCGCCTGCCGCGCGCGGCGTGGCGCCAGAGGACAGCGTCTGCCCCGCGCCGGCGAAGAGGGTCGGCGCCTGGCGGGGGTCGGAGCGCGTTCCACGATTCGCAAACTAGCTTCTCGCAAATGGCCTGGCTCCGCGGCGGAGGGTCTCCGATGGATTACATCGAAGCAGGCATGTGTGTGTTTCGGACGTTTGCGAGTAGGCACTTTGCGACCAGTGGAACGCGTTCGGTGAGTGTGATGATGATAGTGATGATGATGATGATGGTGATGATGATGATGATGATGATGATGATGGACTGAGCCAGAGCACGCCAGATTGAACCAGATTAAACTGGTATCCGACCGCGGAAATACCCGCGCCGATACAAAATTAAACCTCCCAGGAGTTGCATCCCAGTGATGGTGGTGATGGTGATGATCATGTTCCTGATCATGATGATGACGATGATGATGGAGATGCTGATTATGATCTGATGATGGGATGCCGGAGGAGATGAGGATGACGCTGGTAATGCTGATTATGATGAGTTCTGGTGCTGTGTTGCTGCGCGTGTATCTGCGCAGCCTGACATATCATCGTTATCCTCACAAACACCACCACACTCATCATCATTATCCTCCTCATCATCAGCATCATCGCCACCGTCACTATCATCCTCCTCACCATCATCCTCATCCTCACCCTCCGCCTCGTCATCATCACCACCTCATCATGATTATCGTCCTCGTCCCCCTCCTCCTCCTCCTCCTCATCCTCATCATCAGCAGCAGCATCCTCATCACCATCCTCATCCTCACCATCATGACCACCATCATCATCACCAGCAGCAGCATCCGCATCAACATCCACATCATCATCATTACCACCATCACCATCATCACCACCACCACCGTCATCATCATCCTCCTCAGCATCATCATCCTCATCCTAATTAGCAGCATGACCACCAGCATCATCATCAACATCAGCATCATCGTCATCACCATCATCATCATCAGCCTCAACATCATCAGCATCATCATCATCAGCATCATCATTATCACCTTGATAACGATGATCATCATCAACATCAACATCATCAGCATCCTCATCCGCATCCGCATCCGCATCCTCACCCTCATCATCACCCTCATCATCACCACTGGGGAAGGGAGGAACTGGGCATCGCTCGGACGTCCGTTCCCTGTGCGTTTTGCGGTTTCGTGCGCGGCTCTTGTGTGCCAAATGAGCGAGGAGGCTTCTCGATGGTCCTGGCCGAGGGAACAATGCACACGTCCGAGCGATGCCAAGGGACTCGAATGACAGACGGCACTGCTCGCGTATGGGCGCGAGCGGGCACACGAGGGCCTGGGGCCGCCCCTGGGCCCCAGACCTGGCCGAGATCGGCGCCTTCCCTCGAACTAGCGATCTTTCCCGAAGAAGGAGGAGAGGGAGGAGGAGGAGGGAGGAGAGGAGGGAGGGAGGAGGGAGGAGGGAGGGAGGAGGAGGAGGAGGAGGAGGAGGAGGAGGAGGAGGAGGAGGAGGAGGAGTAGGAGGGAGGAGAGGAGGGGAGGGACGAGGAGGGGGGGGGGAGGACGGGGGGAGGAGGAGGGAGGAGGGAGGGGAGGGAGGAGGAGGAGGAGGAGGAGGAGGAGGAGGAGGGAGGGAGGAGAGGAGGGAGGAGGGAGGAGGGAGGGGGGGGGGAGGAGGGAGAAACGAGGGAGGAGGGAGGAGGGAGGGAGGAGAGGAGTGAGGAGAGGAGGAGGGAGGAGGGAGGCGGCAGGAGAGAGCGACCATGGTACCTCCGAGCGGCGAGGGTACCACTGGGGAAATTGTCGGTTAAACTGCCCACGCAGCGTCGGAACGAGGAAGAGTGTACGGTCGGGCCGCTGAAATAAGGAACGCTAGTTAAGGCACGAAGCCCCTTCTGTGGCGTCAACAAAAGCCTGGGTGCACGAGGAGGGCTGGAGGAACAACCCACGGAAGGACGTAAGGAACATCGAGCCCCTTCCGAATCCAAACTGTTCCTTATTGCAGCGTCTTGGCTGTACGGTGTGGAACTGTTGCTGAGCGCGTCGCGGCGGGGCGGCCGCGGCGACACGCTGTGCCCTGCGCGCGGATGGCGTGTCGCTCCGCTCCGCAGGGCGGGAGGCGTCGATCGAACAGCTCGGAGCGTGGGCGAATGGGTCATCGGGAAGTGGTCCACGTGTGGCTCCGAAGCGTGGTGGGCCAGAACCGCCAGGGCGGCACGCTAAGCCAAAGCTCCGAACCCCAATGACATGCCTGCCACGGGCCGGGGTGGACAGGACCACGTCTGAGAGAGCCACTGATCAACCGAGACCAAGCGAGGATGCGGACGACGGGGAAAGGAGAGGCCGGGGAGAATCGGACACGGGGCTGCGTTGAGCTCCCAGACACATCTCATCAACACACGACTGCACTCCCCTTGAGATTTTGGTCGGGGCATGTTCCAGGAGTGGTCCAGCGTCCAGCGACCTAGACCCATGGCGGCCAGAAGCCAATCTCCTTGCCACATGTTTCGGTATATCAACCCTACTGGGGACAGCTAGGTCCCTCAGGACAGGCAAGACGCGACCCGGCATGAACAAAAACGCCCCAAGCAGGGGTCGAGAAATCCTTGGGACGGCGACTCGGAAGAATCGAGCGCGCGGCATATGGCCCCTCCAGCTCAAATGCCAATGTCACGTGCCCCAGGGTGGACGAGGACGAGAAGGGGGCGGATGCGGGGGAGGCGGGACGAGGCAGAGGATGAGGACGCCAAAGAGGGGAGGGAGACGAGATATGAGCGGCCCCAGAACAAGAGGCCGAGCGCCAGACTTGTTGCATTGCAGAACAAACACGCTTCTGTCTGGACGGCGGCCTCCTCGCTTAACAGCAGACCAAGGCGACGATTGCCCTTTGCGGCTCATCGTGTGCGCTGCAACCTGTAAGGCGCAGGGAGGCACGAAAGGGACGAGGCTGGACAGGCTTGGCGTTGGAAGCACGAGCGCTGCGCAACGGCGGAGGCGCGATGGTGGGAGATGGTGAGCACAGAGCTGGATGCCAGTCTTGCTCATTGGCAAGAGGCATGTCAACATCTGAGAGGCGGCCCCCTCTCCCACCACGGGGCGACGATCGCCCCTTCCCATACTGTGATCTGGTTCGGGACGCCCGTCGTGCTCGGTGGCAACTCATGGAAGCCTCTCATACCACATTGCCGGCTCTTGCGAATCCACGCTGATCGACGCTAGATCGACAAATTCACGCTAACCGACGCTACATCAGCGTGATCGCATCCACTCCCATTCGCTAATCGACGCGAAAGACAGAATTGAGAGGGCATACCAGGCTCCCATCATTTGCTACCGAGGTCGTGGGGCACACGTGCCGCTATCCGCAGCTCTTCTCTAAAGCAGCCCGTGCTGGCGGCGGGGCGCAGTCCCAAAGGACGAAGGCGCGCCTCCTCCTGCCGAGCGGAACCACGAGGCCGAAATCTGCGCCCGCTGCGCTGCACTCCTCCTGCAAGCTCCCCTTGGAGGAGCTCCTCGCCCCGCGGCTGGCTGGCGAGCATGCGTCTCAGGCCCCCCCCGCACAAAAACACGGACCTGCACCAGTGGAGAGAGGAGAAGGAGAGAGAAGAGGAGGAGGAGGAAAGGAAAGGAGGAGGAGGAGGAGGAGGAGGAGGAAAGGAAAGGAGGAGGAGGAGGAGGAGGGAGGAGGAGGAGGAGGAGGAGAGGAGGAGGGGGGGAGGGGAAGGAGAGAGAGGAGGAGGAGGAGGAGGAGGAGGAGGAGGAGGGAGGAGGAGGAGGAGGAGGAGGAGGAGGAGGAGGAAGGAGGAGAGGATGAGGAGGAGAAGGAGGCGCAATAGGAGAAGGAGGAGAGGAGGAGGAGATGGAGGCGTAGAGGGGAGAGAGGAGGAGGAAGGAGGAGGAGAGGAGGAGGAGGAGGAGGAGGAGGAGGAGGAGGAGGAGAACGATGAGGAAATCAAGAAGAGGAAGGAGGAGGAGGAGGAGGAGGAGGAGGATCGACTGGGAAGGACACCCGTGGTTGGTACTTGGTAAATTGGCGGTTTCGCTTCGGACCTGACCCGTCGCGTTGGAGCTGGCACCCGGCTGCAGTGGTGAGAGAGCTGAGCACATGGGGGCGAGCGCGGGCGAGCAGGGGGCGCGGGCGGAGAGCCCACGGGGCGGGGGAGGCACGCTCAGGACGCGAAGCCAGGCCCCGTGATGGGCACACGCCGAGCCCAGACGTCTGGCCGCTCCGGTCCTTGCGGTGCGTGGGCCCTGGATGTGTTGAGCAGGGACCAACCGTCCCCCGGCATTTAGTCCTACCACGAACTGTTCTTTTTGAACCCCAGAATGGTCTAGGAACGTAAACAGTGTTCTTAGAGCATAAACCCGATGTGTGAAAACAAGACAGACCTAGCCAGAAAGGTTCTGAGAACACTTCGTGGAAACCACAGAAGGTTCAGGTTCTTAGAACATGGTTTGGTAGGGCTATGAGCGAGCCAGGGCGCTTCGCCACTGCTTGAATGTGTGGACCACTTCCCCCGGGCCGGCTCTTCATCCCGAGTCGTTGTTGGTCGGCCCCGGGACCCGGCAAGGGCCTCCCCCCAGAGGCCGACCATCATGGCGCATCACCTCCCGTCGTGTGTTCTTCACGACGGGAGGGGGTCTGGTGCTGGAGTTAAGTCGGGCGTCCTGCTGGACGGGCGCCTCCTGGTGAGTTGCGGGGTCGGCGAGGAGGTCAGCATCTTTGCTGTGCGGCGGGTTCGCGGCGGGGCGGGTCCCCTACGGGGGGATTTTCGAGGAAAAATAAAAAACACAAAATACTCCCAGATGACAAAAAAATGCTCAAAAGATAGTCCCCAGACTATTTTTTGACTATTTTGGAATATTCCCCCTGTAGGGGGACAGGCCCGACTTAGTGCTGGAGACAGCCTTGGCGGCCCATGTTGCCAAAGAATTGCGAGGACGTTGCCGGCTCCCAGGAGCGACTTGCTGACTGCTTCTGCCGAGAGGGAGGTGCAGCTCGCAGGTGGGAGCAAGCGGTCAAGGCATGGGCGGCGTGCTGAAAGCATCCGCTTCCGTGCACATGTTCACCCCTTGCGCTCATGCGCTGTGGCCCCGGGGCCTGGGAAGGCCCCCCCCCCCCCAGAGGCTGGGCATGGCGAAAAAACCTCCCATCGTGATGTTTGCACGAGGCGAGGGGGTCTGGGGAGGTTGAGTTTGCGGAGGAGGTTGAGGTTGAGGAAAAGGGGGGAGAAGGAGGAGGAGGAGGAGGAGAAGGAGGAGG